GAAGAGTCGCAACGGGATACAGCACAGATGAGAGAGAACCGACAGAGAAGCTCACAAATGCCCCAAGCGCCATAGTACGAGGAAAAGAGCCCATCGAGATGACAGCGATGAGCACAGGGACACGCGAGAACAAATAGAGGCACAGTAAAAAACGGGCAACACAGGAAAACAACATTATCGCAGAAAAACAAAGGTATGAGAAGCTCATCCCTGAATATGAGGAAGAACCGGAAAGGGAACAGAAAGATCTACAAGCTCGGCCCGGAGCGAGGCCTAGGCCATAGTTAAAGAGAGCAGTGATCTACTGATTGTGTTCTACAAGAAGTTCAGGAAGCACTAGTCGGATACATGTCCATGGTAAGTGCTATCACTGGCAGAGTCGCTCTTTTGGACCGTGAGGGAAGGTGTCACCGCTGCCTGGACCGGCACAAGAATAGTTGTTCAGAAACCTTTATTCCCACTGTAAGAAAGTGGGCGAGGAGCGACTTCGATCATCGCGCCGGCATCTGCGCTCAACCGGACGAAGGCAACCGTTCCCGCCAGTGCAGTAGGGAGCTCGAGGACAGAATCGAGAAATGCAAAACCGAGCTGAGGGAAATAGGTGACACGATCGACTGATCGCGCAGCCACAGCAACGAAGAACTAGGTCACTCTTTTCGATGTTGAGGCCGGAGTATACGAACTTTACGTGTTCTATTGAACTTTGCCCAAGGAATTCTGGATGACTCACAGTATAGGGTTTCACCGATTTTCACAGGCCTATCTGTAACTTGCTGAATATCCCATGCTTAATGGATGCAGTTGACATAAAAATAGGTGACATAGCCAGTATATTCTGCTTTTCATTTTGTTTTGCTCATTATAATTGTGCTTTGCCTTGGTATTAATTCCTTGTATGCTTGATTGTAGTCGTTTTTTCCTTCACAGTTTCACTCAAAAGCCACAGACTCACAAACAGAACAGAACAACCATATTCCTGTATTATGTATTGCCATTCCTTCAATGTATTGCTTGCCGATCGTGTTATTAGTTGTTGAATACATCTTCAATAAAGGTTTTAATAAGTTTGAGTTACTGTGCACGGTACTGCTTATCAAGCGGCAGACTTAGCAAAATCAACTGATCCGTATATGGTA